CCCGGGCGCCATCCCCCCCCAGACCACACTGTCCTTGCAGTCCTCGCATTCCAGACGTCTCAGTGCTTTCACTGCCCAGAGATAATATTCACGGCGAGCAGACGTTTGCGTCAGTGTCAGATAGGTCTCAATGCCACCCTGCCCCGGGGGGAGCGCAGCAGGCAAACGGGCTGGGCAGGCAGGCAGGAGCCCACTGCAGAGCCCCCTGAGCCGCTGGCCCGCCGCACGCCCCATGGTCATGCTGCTCCTCCTGCACCTGCTGCCTGCCATGCTGCCCACTGCCACCCTGGCCAGCTGCACCGGGGCTGGTGCCGACCGGCAGCTCATCCTGGCCAAGGTGCAGGCACGGGTACTAGAGCATCTGAGCCCCCCGCTTCTCCAGGAGGAGCCCCAGAAGGAAGCAAGGAGGGTGCACCGGAGAGATGTCCTTGAAAACGCCGAAGTCGAGCCCGAGGAGCTGGAAGACATCTCCCAGGTGATCCTCTTCCCTTCCACAGGTGAGAATGCCCTGGTGGGATGGAGAGGGCGGAGGGGTGAAGCAGGGTGGGGGCTTGGGGCAACACAGATGCAGCAGGATGGAGGAGCTGCTGTGGGGGTCTGCAGGAGAAGAGAAAGAGGGTACACCAGGCTAGGGTGCGGGCACGGGCAAGGTGTGGAGAAGAGCCAGGAGGTGGAAAGGGGTGGCAGGCGGGGACAGGCAGAGCAGCCCAGAACACAGGCAGGGAGAGGGGCAGGCAGCACAAGAGGGTGCCAAGAGGCTGGGGAACGGCTGGGCCAGGTGGGATGCAGGGAGATGGGGGCGCTGAGGAGCAGGCAGGGTGGGATAGGGCGGGATGCTAGGGAACGGGGCAGGATGCTGGGAAGTAGGATGGGATGGGATACTAAAGGACAGGGCAGGATGCTGTGGGACGGGGCAGGATGACCAGCTATGGGGCAGGACACTGGAAGATGGGGCAGGATGCTTGGGGGATGGGGGGCAGCAGTAATGGACCAGCCTAGGGCACAGCAGGGCTCAGCTGTGGGGTGCAGTGCAGTGGCTGCTGCATGGCACTAGACCTCAGCTCCCCTGCACCATGCCGCAGCCCAGGCCGGCAGCAGGGCGCCCTGCCAGCATCCTGGGGACCCTCTGTAACACCCCACCTCCCACCCGGTGTCAGGGACCCTCCCCAGGTTTGGGCGCGCGCCCTGAGCATCTTTCTCCCTCCCACAGACGTGCCCTGCGAGCCCACGCAGCCAGACAAGCTGCTGGAGGAAGAAGGGATTTTCACCTACCTCTTCCAGCCCTCGGCACACACCCTGAGCCGCGTGGTGACCTCCGCCCAGCTCTGGTTTTACACCGGCCCCTCGGCCGCCCCCAACCACTCAGCCCCTGATGTGCTGACCCTGTCACCACAGGGCCACATGCCGGTGGCAGCCACGGTGGTGCGGACACCCGAGCACTGGATGGTGTTTCACTTTGCCCCGGAGCTGCTGCCCCAGCTCTCCCAGCCGCTCTTCGCTCTCCTGGTGCGCTGCCCCGGCTGCCCCTGCCTGGCCGAGGGGGACAAGATGCCCTTCTTGGTGGCCACCACCCGGGCCAAAGGCAGCGAGAGGGCTCGTCGCTCCGCCATGCCCTGGTCCCCGGCCGCCCTGAGCCTGCTGCAGCGCCCGTCTGAGGACCTGGCTGCCCACACCAACTGCCGCCGGGCTTCCCTCAACATCTCCTTCGAGGAGCTGGGCTGGGACAAGTGGATCGTGCATCCCAGCAGCTTCGTTTTCCACTACTGCCACGGGAGCTGCGCAGAGGGCCACGGGCTGAACCACCGCCTGGGCGTGCAGCTCTGCTGCGCTGCCCTGCCCGGCACCATGCGCTCCCTGCGCGTCCGCACCACCTCCGACGGCGGGTACTCCTTCAAGTATGAGACGGTGCCCAACATCCTGGCCCAGGACTGCACCTGCGTTTAGGGCATCCCACAGCCCAGCCCCAGACCGTCATCCTGCCCAGGAGGAGTCGCTCACCCAGGGGACCCCCGGCCCCGCGCTGCAGGGACCAGAGGGACCCGGCGGGGGGGTTTGGGCTGTGCCACCCTCCCCTGCACAAGCTGGAGTTTCAGGCTGCTCTGGGTATGGTCACGCTGCCAGACCTGCCCCAGGGCCGGTCCCAGCCCAGAGCAAGCTGGGGCATGGCAGGGCAGGGACTGGCACAGCCTCAGACAGAGGCACCAACCCCTTGCCGAAGCCAGCCTGCCGTCTGCAACCAGCTCAGCCCCCGTTTCTCCCCACCTGCTCCCCTCCCCCAGTTTCCCCCCCAAAAAAAGACTGGGGTCCCATTCCTGCTGCAGAGTGCAACAGCCTCCCCATGCTCCCAGGCACGGCCAGGCTGCTGCGGCAGGGATCAGGATGTGCCAGGACGAGCCCATGCCAGGACCTTGCACTGGTGGTGGGGCTGGTGGCACGGGTGGTGCTGCAAGCGAGCCCTCTCCTGGTGGCACAGCCTGTTGGAAAGCTTAACGGGATGAGTGAAATAAACCTGTTCCCTTCACCAAAACAGCCTGGAAACGCCAGCTTCCATCAGAGGCAGCCACAGAGGCAGCATGTGGTTGTGCAGTGGGTTGCGAGCTCCCCAGGGGCTTTTGGCTGGAGGAGGGAGGGGATGGGCAAGTGCTGCAAGAGGCGTCCAGCTCTGACCCGGGGTCCCAGAGTGGGGACTGAGGTGTGCTGGCCAAAATCAGCATGGCGTGGCTGGGTTTGACCTGGCTCCAGGGCAGGGGAGCACAGGGCAGGGCAGCATCCCTTCCGCTCCCGGCTGCAGCGGGATGGGGAGGCACGGGGAAGCCTCTCACTGGGCCTCTCGCAATCCCGCTCCGCCAGGCCGATGGAGGCTGCCCCGGCTGCAGCCGTCTCTGCACGGCAGGAACGACTGAGTCACCCCAGGCAAGCAGGGAGGTCCCAGGGCAGGCGGGCGGCGCTGCCGGCCCCAGCCCAGCTGCGCAGGATTCCCTTCCCACCCCTTCCTCCCAAAGGACCGGATGCAGCAGTTCAGTACAAAATGTCTCCAGCCTTTACTAATATAGATATTAAAAAAAAAAAAAGAAGAAAAAACAGAGCGACAATCATTTCTGAGTAAAAAACAACGCTACAAAAATCCCCGTGTGACCCAGGCTGAGATGATGAGAAATGCCCTGCTGGCTCCCGGCTGAGCCCAGCTTGGGGCACCGTGTCCCCCCACTGCGGGACCAGGGTCCGGCCCCGCACAGGGGGTCCCGGCCCCACGGCCAGAGCGGGAGGGGATGGGCTTTGGTCCAAGGGTGGCCAGCTGGGAGCGGGGCGGAGGCGGCAGGAAGGACAGCCCCTGCCCTCTGCACAGACATTTCCCAGCAGGCCAGCCCCGTGGCTCGCACCCCCGTGCCAGGACGCCGTGCAGCACGGCCCCCCTGGCCACACCGGCACTTTCCGGCAGCAGCACCACCAGGACTCCTTCCGTCCCCTCTGCTTCAAGCTCAATGCCAGCCCAGCCCCATGGTTCAGCCCAGCCAGCCAGACCCCCAAGGCTCGGCTCCCCGAAACCCCTATGCCACGGGGGCAATACCGGCATCACCAGCATGGCCTGCACATGCACAGCGCCGGCCAGCGCAGCAGCAGGTGGCAGTGGGCACAGGAGGGCACGGGGAGGTGTGAGGAGAAGATGCTGCAGGAAATGGGTGCGGGAGGAGGAAAAGGGGGTGAAACGGGAGACGGAGGGGCGCAGGCCCAGAGCAGAGACCGGGAGCAGAGTATAAAAATGCCAGGGTGCACACGCTGACGGGTTTATAAAAACGTACAAAAATAAGATATTCCCTTTTTGAAAATTAAGTAGGAATGTCCCCCAAGGCCCCCATCCCTGCTGCTGCCCACCGGGACAGGGCTGCCCGGCCAGCCCTGCCGGACAGGCACGCGTCACCCTGTGCCCCGTGCCCCTGGCAGGCTGCCCGTC